TTTCCCTGGCTCCTTCCACAGACAGGGAAGGGGGAAGCAGGTGATTCTGCTGTCTCCTAACCCAGGGAGGAGACTCCCAGCGCGGAGGGTGTGGGGTTGTGCCCAGTGCAGGGCTGCCCTCGCCTGTGTGGGAGGGAGCGGGATGTGCCCAGCTGCCCACATTAACTACAGCCGCTTTCCTCTCCTCCCTCCCTGCCTCCCCCTTCCCTCTGTCCCAGCACTGGCTGACGGAGAGCGCCAAGCTCATCGCCAAGTCGGGACAGACGGTGGAGTGGGTTGCTGCTCCCCGGCCCCGCTCGCTCGGCCGGGGTGCCTGTTCCCCCCGGGAAGCCGTTCCCGGGGCGCCGTGATTCAGGCTGGCTGCGCTCGCAGCCCACGCGCTGCTCAGCTGACTCAGCTCGGCCTCGGCGGCTCTGCAGGGGTGGAGCGGGCCGGGGCCCTCCGCATGCAGGAGCCTCTTCCTCGGCCTTCACAGGGAGCAAGGCTCCAGGAAGGCTCCCGGAATCAGCACATTGCTGGGAAGGGGTGAAGGATGTGCCAGCATCCTCAGGAGGGAGGCGAGGTGCCAGGGGGAGTGACAGCTGTCATGGGAACCAGGTTGTCCTGGACAGGTCCCCTTCAAAGCCTGCATTGCAGCAGGGGACGTCGCAGGAGCCTCTTCCTCGGCCTTCACAGGGAGCAAGGCTCCAGGAAGGCTCCCGGAATCAGCACATTGCTGGGAAGGGGTGAAGGATGTGCCAGCATCCTCAGGAGGGAGGCGAGGTGCCAGGGGGAGTGACAGCTGTCATGGGAACCAGGTTGTCCTGGACAGGTCCCCTTCAAAGCCTGCATTGCAGCAGGGGACGTCGGCACCGCAGCGCGTTGGCGTAATCCTCTCCAGAAGTCAACGTTGATGCTCTCTGGGCAGTGCTGCGAGTTGATCCGTGTTCTCTCTCCCTGCAGCTGAATTGCAGTATGCAGAACTTGAGCGTGAAGAATGCCAGCAACAGCCAGTAAGTGTTAACTCATGGTCTTCACCGAGCCTCTTCTGTCCCCACTCTGTGCTTTGGAGACGAATGTCCCCAAATGTCCCACTGACATGTGATGAAGCTCCTGGCATCCCGCTGAGCTGTAGGAGAGGAGCCCTGTGCTGCTTTCAGCAAGGCCTTGGGGTCTTCAGAGCTGCCTTCGTGTCCCCTGTGTCTTGGTGGGCTCTGCCTTTTGCCCCAACTCCTCTTTGTGCTGCAGGAAGCCTGATACAGTGAAGCAGAAGAACGCCTTTCCACCCAACTTCATCCACTCCCTGGACTCCACGCACATGATGCTCACGGCTCTGCACTGCCTCGGGTAGGAAGCGGGGGCGGCCTGAGCTCTTCCTTGGCCTCAGACACTCAGCTCTGTGCTGGGGAAGCGTCACCAGGGACATGGGAGACGTTCTCCTGGCAAGTGGGTGGTTGAGGGGAGCAGCAGGGCAGGGACGGGGAGCCCTCGAGGGTTAGTGTCTCTCTTGGAAGATCCTCAGCCCCTGAGCAGGGAGTCCTGACCTTGCATTGCCCCTGCTAATATGTCAGCGAGAGGGTCTGCGTGGGATAAGGGACATCAGAGAGAGACGGGACTTTGAGCACTGCGTCACGGCCCCTTCTGCTCCCTTCCAGGCAGGGCCTGAACTTTGTCTCGGTCCATGATTGCTACTGGACTCACGCGCTCACTGTGGATGTCATGAACCAGGTAAAAGTGTCCTCTCGAACCCCTTGTGAGCAGAGATCTTGCTGATCCATGCTCTGGACGCCTGCCCGCCCTTGCTTCCCCTGGCTTTGCTCCATTTCTTGGCTTGTTCACCCAAGTGAGGTGGATGTGGGGTGCTTGCTGGCAGTTGCAGCTGAATTCCTGGTGCCCCAGCCTCATCTCTTGGCATCCTTCAAGGCAGGGCTGGGGGAGAATCCATGTGTGCCAATCGGTGCCGAATGCTCCGGCACAGACCAGAGTCGGTGCCTCTGGCCTGCCCTGGGCTCGTTGCCTCGGGGGGTTCCCAGAGCCTGTTGTGCAATAGGTTAATAAGGGGGGTCGGCCCCTGCTTCCCTTCACCTTCAGCCCCCTGCCATTTCCCCCACTGCTTTCCCTGCCCCTTACTCTGCCCTGTCTTGCCTGAGGGCAGCGTTGAGGGGAAGGAGGGCAAAACGCCCCTTGAGCTGCTGCTCACCATTGCTCCCTGCATCAGATCTGTCGGCAGCAGTTTGTGGCTCTGCACAGCGAGAAGATCCTGCAGGATCTGTCTGAGTTCATGCTGAAGAAGTACTGCAGGTATTCCTGCCTGTTTGCTCATCCCCTCGCCCCGCTTCTCCCCATCCACACGGATTTCCTCTCCTGGGAGCTGCTGTGCCAGAGTCCAGCCGCGCAGAGCTTGGGTCGTGTGCCCGGAGATTGTCCTTGGGGGAAACTCTGCTCCTTGACTGATGCCCAAATTGACCTTAAGCTTAAGCCTCCATGTGCAAGCGAGGTGTCTCGATCCCTTTCCTGCAGAAATGAAGTAGGACTCGGTGCTTGAATCCCTTTGGGCCCTGGGGTGGGCTGTGAGCCCCGTGCCTCAGTTTCCCCATGTGAAGGAAGGGGCCCTGAGGACACACACTGGGTCAGAGGCAGAGCCAGGCAGGTAGCACAGAGACACCCAAAGTGGCCTGGATTCTGCAAAGGGCCTGTAGGTGCCTCAGCACCTGCTTAGGGCTGCTCAGGCCGGAGCTGCAGCCTGTCCTGGGGATCCTGCGTGGGGGAGCAGCGTGGGGAGCGCCAGTTCCCAGGGCTCAATCCCTTTCTTTCTAGTTCACCCATCCCGGATAATGAGAGTAAAGCCCTTTTGCAGAAGAAATTGATGGAGCAGCTGTCGAGTGTCCCTAAGACAGGTAGGAGCACAGGAGTGGTTTGGAGATGAGGGGGGTGAATGGCCCTCAAAGCCCCTGAGCTCATGGGGGCCCCAAAGCTGGACGAACTGAGGCTCCAGTCAGCTGTGCTAAAGTGATCCCTAGGATCAGCCTTTCCTGCCTGCCTTGGGCCGCACAGCAGAGCCTGGAGACGTTTCCCTGCAGCTTCCATGGGAACTAGGCCGGCCCTTCCTTGGGATTCGGCCCTGGGTTCTCCCTGCTGGTGCTGCCCCCTCTCTCAGTGCTCTTCTCCCATCTGTTCCCAGCAGCAAGGCATTTGCCTGGAGATGGGAGCGAGGCTCCGAGGACGGTAATTGCCAGGATCTGCATGATATACATGCAATCGGATTAAGGCAATTAGTTTAACTCCTCCTAATCCCTAAGCCGTGCCTCAGCCAGACCATCTGGCTAAACTTTGCTCTGTCTTTGCAAACCGAAGCAGGCAAATGCGCTGGCCCGTGCTGTGAAGCAGCTGCCGAGTTCGGCCCGAGGCTGCTGATCCCGCGGTCGTGGCGCTGCCCCCAGCGAGGCCAGGAATGTCCCTCTTCCTTCCCCTCCTTGATGCTGATGTGCCCTTCTGCCCTCTTCTTCCTCCCGCTGCAAATGGGAAGGGACATCAGGCCTGGGAGAGCTCCGGGCTCCCTTGCTGCCTGGATTCCCCCCTAAGCTGAAGCCTGGTTTTCTGTGGGAGCTGCGCGAGGGCTGACGGGAGAGGCTGTCCCTGTTCCCTATCTTCCCCCCTGCTTTTCCTAACGGCTCTTCTCCCTCGCTTCCCCTAGGTGATTTCAACCTGAAGAAGGTGATGGAATCCACCTATTTCTTCAGCTGAGGCCCTGGCGAGCAGCGGCCCTGCACTGGCTGCGCTCTGCGGCCACCTCAGAGGCTGCGGTAGGAACTGGCCTGTAGAACAGGGCTCCTCTGTCCCACGGGCCCTGCGGGAAGGGGCTTGGCAGCCCGGCCCGCGAGAGCCGCCTGTCCTGGAGGGTGGCCGGGACGTCCCTGTCCCTGCAGCCCCCGCCAGGCCTGGGCGAGCCCTGGTCCTGGGTCCTGCTCTCCCCTCTCCTCTGCCCTCTGGGAGCTCCCCGAGCGTTAGGGCCCCTTCCCCGCCCTGCTCCGGGCAAGGGACAAAGCCGGAGGGAGCGGGAGCTTCCCGGCTCCTCCTGGAGCGCTCCAGGCGCTGGGGCTGCAGCGGGGGGCGCAGCAGCCCCTGCTGCTCCTGCCTGCTGCTGCTCCTTCACCTTCTCCTTTCCAGGGATCTGTTAAGTTCTGTTGGGGAAAACCGTCCACACCGGGGTAGAAGTGTACAATACTGTAAATAAAATATTTTTGTTTTTGAAATACTACTGGGGAAATCACTGCTCTTGGCGCCTCTACCCCCGGTCCAAGGCTGCCCAGGCTCTGGGCTGACGGTCACGGGGTTGTTGCTGGTGCAGTTGAGGCTTGGGGGCCTCATGGGCTCCTAGCTGGAGCCGGGCGCCCTCCTCATGGGCTTTGCTGGGGGCAGGAGGGGGTCTGGGCTGGAAGGAAAGTGGCCTCTCACGGACGGAACCGGGACGAGCGCACGACGGCGACGCAGCCAGGGCTGCGCGAGAGCCCGGAGCAGCCGGAGCCCCCGCGGCCAAGGAGAGGCAGAGCCAGCCGTGCGTAGCACTGTCAGTCGCTGACGTTTATTGCACAGGATGGGCTGGATGGAGAGGTGGGTTCCCGGCGCGGGGCCGTCCCGCCGGCTCCGGGCAGGGGGCTGGCCCAGCCCCGCGGCTCCGCGTGTGCGGCTGCCCCTTCCCGGAGCCACCAAGCTGCGCAGCCCAGCGCCACGGGGACGGCTCTGGGGCCCGTCCCTGCTGCTGGGGGGTCTCCCCACCCGTGTCTGGTTTTGGCCTAATGCTGTTTTTTCTAAATAATGATGTTTCAACTCCCAAATAATTATGTGTTCATCTGCTAATGCAGTCACAGGGGCCGCAGAGCCCAGATTAACGGTAATCCTATGGGATGCCCGGCTGGATGCAGCCTGGCGGGGTGGGGAGGAATCGTGTGTGCCCCCCAGCGCCCCACAACTCGCCGCCCCCCAACTCACCTGCAGCTCCGGGCTGTTGCCTGGGGGGAAGCGGGGCCCCCGGC